TATGAAAAAATTGACAAATATTAAAGATAGTATATTCCTTTACGTAACATGTTTTAAACTAAGCAAAAAGTTGGTTGAGAATAGTTTTTTTTATTGAATGGTATAAAAACTAATGCTTTGTTGTGTTTGACATACTTTTATTTTAATAAGTGTACATTATAACTGGCTAAAAGGTTCTTGGGAACTTAGGCTTTACAGGTAGATATTTCATATACCATGCAGTAAAATATATTGTAATTGTTTTAGTTAGTATTTAATTTTTTGTAGTTGTTTTGGCATTGCATTAGTTACTAATGCAATTAGTCAAAAACATAAGGAAAGAAAAATTTACTGTTGATAATGTATGTAATTATTAACTTACAAATGTATAACACACTGAGATTTGTGTTTTAAGTTGTTGTTTTTTTTGCAAGTAATGCAGGATTAGCTTATTTTGACATTATGAATAAAGTTCTATGTTAAATATACTGATCCAAACAATTTTCTAAGTTCAGAGTAAAGTTTATGTGAGTATCAGTGTTTGATACTGAGCTGGTTTCTGAATGGTTGTGAGTAAAGGTGGGCTGCAAGTTTGTTTCACAATCAACGGAAGTAAAGCTTCTCTAGGTGGAATTATGTTGGAACTTATGCATTTTAGAGTTCTTTTGCAGTTTTTTGTGTTTTCTGTAAAATTGTTTATGAGTTTTTGCAGTGTTGAGATGCAATACTTTGTCTTCTTATTTTAAAGTTTGCCTTTTTTTGTTGTTGTTGTACAATAAACTTTCAGACATTATGTATTATCAAAATTTTCTGTAGAACCAGCCACATTCTGTCGATGAGCATTATTTCGGAAAATGAAAAGAGTAAATATGTAATTGGCAAATGATACACATTGCAAGTTACAACTGATTGCTTTTAAATATAGTAAAACATTAAAACAAATTTATGCTCTTGTAAATTGTGGCTTTGCAGTGACCCTTTGAAAACTGATAATAGATTTGAGAGCATTATTATGAAATACATTGCCACTTTTTGGCCATAAAACAACTTGTATATTTTAAAAGCAGTTTCTTCTTTAAAGTAGTATTTTTCTGGGTGTGATTCTGTTGTATAGTATCAAGTATCATGAACAATAGCAATGGAATGTAAATTTAGGCAGAAATCTGACTAAAACTAAAAAAAAAAAAAGTTTTTTTTTCTCTTTTTAATGACAAATTTTGTATCACTGTATATTTGACATTTTAATAGGTGTTTATGTAGTACGAAAACCTAACTGTAGCTGTCAGATGAGTAAACATTTTATTAATTCATTTTGAGTATTAAAAACTAGTTAAAGAACTTTGTACAACATACTGTTGCACTTATTTAACAAATTAATGTCTTGCGAGGATATTGCTTTAGTAAGAATACTCTAAGCAGTGTGGGATGGGAAATATACATTGTATTTCATCCCAACTGGGGATTTTCCATGATATACTCATAACCATGACAACAATTAATATGAAAAAGAATGTGATAAATTATGAGAAAACATTCTAGCTTGATAACTATGGAAATGAATTCTGTATGTATTCCTGAATGTGTTAGTCAGGTAGAACTGAAAACTTCACTTGTTGGAGTTTCTTATTTTCTGAAGGACTGTTAACATGTTTTCTGTGAAACACCTGGAGTTTGAAAATTTGCTATATGAACAAGGTGACCTACACTGAGGTGACATCATCTCTGTTCACTTGTTGGAACCCTAGCAATACTGTACTTGCTCAATAGTTTAGAATTGATTAATCATGTGAAAGATTAAAAAATAAATAAAAACCTTGAAATCATTTTCCAAGTAACAAGTTGTTCCTTATTGTTCTTTTGAAGTCAAACAACCTTTTAAGATGTTATTTTGGAGTTCTTTTCCCCATTATTGTACTTGTTACTTAGATTTATCATGGTATAACAAATTTTAAATAGATATTAAAGAAACTATATTTTATGTAGAATAAATCTTTAATATTATGTATGTGAAAGATGAACTTGATTGAATGGGTTGTTTTAAAATGTAATCTTTTGTTTTTTCTTCACATGATGCACCCATTTGATGAGATATAACTGATTAGAGGTTGATAAAAAGTGTTAGTACTTAATTTGGTTTTCTTGAGAAGTGCTGTTTCTTGTAGGATTTTGGTTTTATATAGAAAGAAGTAATAATGTGTGATTGGTTATTGTTCATAAAAATGATTTAAAATTTAAATTGTTAATGTCTTGTTTTGCTCTTGCTGATTTGGTCCAATAAACATGGTTCAATGTGAGTAGATTATGTTCTGTGAAGCTTTAAACTGCTTTTTTTATTACTTTATCAAAACTAGTAAATAACTAATTATCACTAATACTAAGAAAGTGAATAGCACTGTTAATTAGTTGATATTTAATTGCATAAGTTTGACAGCCTGTTATTGAAATTAAAGTTTTTCATACCAAACAATGAAACTAACCTGCAGAAACTTTTTTTTTACTACAATGGAAAATGTAAAAGGCAAACTATTGGGAAGAAAATTTACATTTCAAGCATATTAATAACAAATTATGCCAAATTTAATTTATGTAAAAATGCCAGTCATTTCTGAAAGTGGTTTAAATAACCGATTTGTTAGTGTAATGTGTAGCCTGTTTCTATCAACTTATTTTATCAAGTTTCAGCATCTTGTGAATAAAATACATAAACTTCCGTTGAACAACTGACCTGTTGTCTCCGTCTACTAGGAAATAAATGATAATATTCAAGGATAAAGACTGACATTAACATGACGTATGTGGTACAAACGTAAGATATGTAATCTTATTTAAAAATAAGAGAAGAAATGCTGGAAAATACCATTACTTAGCTTATTTTTAATATCAGATTAAGTAGTTTTTCCCCCACCCGACAATTTAGAAAGTAATACAGTTTCAATTAACACTTTATATACAATGCCAATTTGCATCATCGTCAGGAAAACATTTCGTACGATTTAGAAATAAATCAAACCCTTTTTCACCTTTGACAGTCGGTAAAAGATGGTCTCCCTAAAATGCATATTCCTTTTTTTTTGGGGGGGGGGGGGTTAGATTTTATCATGTTAAATTTAATGTGCTAGGTTATTACAATAAAAGTAAAAAATAAGTTGTTTTTTATTCGGCGTAACTTGTTTCGGTTTTCCGATAAAAGAACAAAAGCGCTTATTAGTTCAGTAAAATTCCCGTAGCATCTTACTTTGAATATGACTTATTAGATTTGTTCGTTTTTACATGGACCTTAAGTACGAGGCAACTTGTTATGTTCAAAATATATCTCTACAAGGCGTCCGAAAAGTTTGGAACAAATACTATTGAATATGTTCCACGTGCTGTCCTCGTAATTCGAAACAAGTTTGGAGACGGCATTTCCATTATTTTTGAACACTGC